AATTTAAAAATGTAAAACTTAAATTAATAACTGATTTTATTATTATTATATAACAAATTTTAATAGATTATATTTCATTTATTATTCACATTAAAATGCACAATACAAAAGCTGCACTTAAAAACTACATTTTGTTTGTATTAATTTGTAATTCCACTTCCACTGACAAATGTCTTCTTTCAAATGAGACTACAAGTATGCATGCAACACAAAGGCTTCATTAACTAACTATTTTAGTTTGGTTATGCCTTTCTTTTTTTTTTCTTTGTTGAAAAGAGGGGTGTAGGTTAAGTTAAATTCAAACTTGAATTCAAACTTGAATTACAATTCTGAATTCCCATTTGCTGCCTTAATTATTTAAATACAGTACCTCAATTCAAATTCAACAAATTAAATAATTTTTTTAAGGCATCCTTAACTGAATTCTGAATGGTGCTCTATCTATCTAACAATTTAAGGCATGATGTGTGCTGTGCATGAGTGACTGTTTATGCCTATGTAGAGTTTTAAACCATTCACTTGTGAGGTTCAATAATGTTAGGATGCTGTGGGAGGTGTCACGTCCCACTTAGAACAAGTTCAGCTGAGGATAAACCGAAACAAAGCACCCCGAGGGACTTGTAAGCAGCTCCTTGAGTCTATCGCAGTGAGGAGGGAGATTGGAGAGTGTCCTCTTTCAGACCTACTGATAAGGGTTTAGCATTTTCAGAGTTCTGGGCGGTCTGGTAAAGATGGCCCAGGAGGGAATACTCTTGTTCTTCATGGAAAGGAAGGACACATTACATACAGACTAGATAAGTGTGCGTGTCGCTGTGTTGACAAGCTAATCGGATGATTCCGCTAGGGCAGAAAAGCTCTTTTATATATATTTCTCTTTTTTTTCCTGTTAAAGCGCTGCATTTTAATTACCCCTTCTTTACAAGCAGCTACTTTGTTGACTGTGTGATGGGTTTGTTTTGCCCTTCTCCCTTTGGGCTACTGTCATTGTCTGAGTTTTAGATTTGTGTCTGTGTGGCCGTGATCTGTCCTTCAATTCATGCAGTGTAAACCTCTTGAAATCAGGGGTGGACAGCAGCGAAACCGAATACAGATTCCCAAATCAATGTAGCTTCTTTGTGTATTGACATTTAAACTTCATTAAAAGTGCTACAACTGATTCCCTGTGGTGGGTTACGTTCAAAGAGCTATTTATTTAATTTAATGTGGGACATAATTTAAAAAATACGACACATACCGGGGGCCCTGGTGGTCCGGGTTGACCTGTATTAGCCGCGCCATTCTGTAAATAATAAAAAGGATTACTGCAGTTTATGAAGTGTGAACAATATGACATATATATTGTGAGTGTGTTTTAGTATCAGGTTAAAGTTTTACCTGAAGTTTATAGAGACTGCTCATCCCATTGCTGTCTGCATATGGGACACCCTGAAAAGAACAAGTTTACAAGGTTTTTTGCATGTTGCTAGGTGTTTGCTTATTGGCTCAAGTCAAAATAACCTGCCCAAATCAATATGATATTATGGTTTCCAGATATGTCAAAGGTTCCTCCTTCAAATACAAGTCAATGAGATTTTCCTCCTTATTTATCATTAACCAAGCTATAAAATCATAAGGGAAACAAACTAAATAGGAGTCTAAAATTGCTGTGTTGTTTGCATTTCTTGGGCCACTGATGTGGTTATGAAATTATGGCCATCAATTTAATGTATTAGAGCATTGCATACTGTTTACATTTCAATTTTTTATTTCCTTATGCTTGTTTGAAATGAGCTGGAGTGTTGAAGAAAATTGATTTTGCATATTTAATGTTCACTGAAATGACAGCCACATGGTTACGTGGGCTGCTGAAGCTAATATTTAGGTCTGAACCTGTATAAAAAACTACAAATAAAAGTATTCAAAAAAGTATTTTATTATTAAATACCCATCTTCACTTACACCCATCTCATTTATAGCTGACTTTTTTTTCTATGTAAAATTATTTTTCCCCATTCTATCTTTATATGCAGAGATAACTATGAATAAACCACTTATAGGCTGATTTTCCCAAAAAGGATAAATACTGGTGCACTATCAACACATTGCTTATTGTTTTCAAAACTCCAACCATGTGATGCTAGATTGGGGCGGAGCTATCTTTTTGGCGACCAATGACAGACAGCAGGAAGAGTTATGGAAACCTATAGGAAAGCATTCATTATTTTTGCAATTATGTTTGCAATTCCTAGTGGTGTAGAAAATGCACACTTTAATTCAGAACTTACAGGGGGTCCAGGAGGTCCGGGTCTGCCTTGCAGTCCTTCGCTGCCCTGGAACAAAAAGACATTTCTTTTCTTTACACGCATAACACAAACTGCCTCTCCAAAGGAAGTATGTGATTGCATTGAGAGTCAAGGCCAACTGCAGTGTTAGCAAATGTTGTGAATAATAAATAACAGGTGTCAGATAGAGGATTTGGAAGTTTTGAGGATAGACTTGGTGCCCCTTGGCTCTATTGGGTTAGCTCTCAGTGGAGCCGACCAGCTGATGAAAACCAATGAAAAATGCCTCTATCCCCTTTCTAGTGCATATCTGCACACTGCAGGGCACACCACTAGCTCATATTCACTATCTCCCGCTAACCGTTTGTGAGAGTATTACTCCAGCCAATTATCAGGAAGTGTGTGTGACTCATACAGATGCAGATGGATCAAAGAATCATAATGTTTGGAAAAGTGAAAAAGAGAAAAAGATATGCCTTACATTTTGGTTTAATCCCACTATAAAATTCAGTTTAACTCTGGAATTTTTAAACATAACATTTAAGATGATATACATAACAAATAAACAATTTTATTTTGTTTAGTCTATAAACCAAACATTTAAAAAAAATTATTATTTACTCACTCTCATGTTGTGCTAAACCTGTATAACTTTCTTAAGTGGAATACAAAATTAACCATTTTAAAGATTTATTTTTTTGGCATTTTCGCCTTTATTACAATAGGACAGAACATAACTGACATGAAGCGAAGAGGGAGAGAGATGGGGGGAGCAGGATCGTGAAAGGTCCTCGAGTCGGGACTCGAACTCGGGATGCCCATAGCGCAACGGCGCTGTATGTCAGCACGCTGTCCACAAGGCTAACGGCGGCGACAAAATTAACCATTTTAAAGATAAAAAAAAAAGATACAAAGCCATCATGAAAGTGGTCCATTCGCACTATAGTTCAGGCCTTCTGAGAACATATGATCATTTTGTGAAAGAAACGGTCCAAATTTTAATTCATTATTCTTTTTTTTTCCTCAACAGCAGCCCCCAAATCTAGTGTTCACTTATGCACTTGACATTATCCATGTCCATAATGTATATTCTATTGAAAAGTATAGCATGAACAGTTTGCAAACATCTCACTGTGTTCCACAAATAATCATATTATGTCTGGGTTTGAAATAACATTATCTTTTTTTTCTAAAGTACTTAATATTATTTTTAAATCTTAAAGCAGAAATTATCACTTAATTATGCTTACCCGTTCTCCCTTTGGTCCTAGGGGCCCAACAGGTCCTGGTCTGCCAATAAGTCCCTAAAGGCAGAGGAATATGCATGAGGTTATTTTTGATTAAATAACCAAAATTAAATAATTAAAAATTAAATAATGATTTTTATTAATTTTTTTATTTTTTTTTGACAAAAAATGTAGTAGCTATGTAGTAATTATGAAGTCATGATAACATTTATTTTTGTTGGAAAATTCTCACCTGTGGACCCATGCGGCCTGTGGATCCAGGCAATCCTGGCACACCTGGGGACCCCTAGGAACAGAGAAACAGACAAAAAACAATTGTAGTAATAATTGTATTGTATGATAATGCATTCTCTAACCTTGGACCAATTAACTGTGAGCTTGGGGCTAAACTTCAACAGAAGTTTATTTTAATACCTATGCAAACTGCAAACTGCTCAAACAAATAAAATCATTTCATTTCAGATGCAGAGTCTGGAAAATTTAGTTAGGCAGCAGTACAGCGTACAACTATGACACATCAGACAACTTTACAAGGATTAGTTTAGATTTGTCGCATTGCACCGTGTAATTCTGATAACTCACCTCATCACCCTTATCCCCCATCGGACCAGGAAAGCCTCTCTCACCCTTCACTCCCTATATGACAACGAGACAGATGGAAAATAGTTGAGACAGTAAGTACAATCTTTTGATTGAGTTTCTCTCTAAGAATGCTCTCATATATTATTCATGTTTATCTCTGGCCTCAATTCTTGCCTGTCACTGAATGTCTCACATTCAGGCACTCGACTGTACAAGTATGCAAACCATATTTTGCTACAATTGTTGCACCATGTGTAATATATTTGCCCTGCAATGCCTTGTTGTAACAGAGGAAATGTACTTCAAGAATTACAGCTAAAGCTCATGTGTCTGCCAATCACGATTCTCTTCTCTAATCTCTGATTTAGGGCGGCTTACCTTGGGACCCTCTTTTCCAGGATTACCAGCTGGGCCCCGAAGACCCTGATCCCCCTGTCAAAGCCAACCCAGAACATAAGGAGCCAGATCCACAAGACAGACACAAGAATATGCAGTAGTGCAGCAAAGTATTTGAACACTTAGGCCACAGTTTATGTATGAATGTCAACATGTTAAATAATTAAATATCAAACAAAGCGGGATTCATTTTAAAGAATGAGAGCACAAGCTCATATAAGGACCAGGATTAAAAACCACTGTTTCATATTATATACACATTCATATTAAATAACTGGACTGCAGAAATGTCTGGTGTATTTGTGTCTACAATGGTGCCATCTATAAACAATCAGCCAGAAAAGATGACAGCAATCAGTGCTAGGGAATCTCAGGTGGAGGAACAGAATATTAATTAGTGAGAAGATTAAATGTGTTTGCAGCCATTTTTTACCTTTTCTCCATCCATTCCTGGGATACCTGGAGCTTTATTTATTTTATTTAGTTCTGTTCATCCTAATTCATACTATTAATGTTAGCATCCACTAGACTGCAGTAAAAATAAGTGCACAGGAGGATAGACAGCTGGATGAAACAGTACCTTCAGTAATGTCCCCATGTCTCCAACAATAGGTAGTGCTGTCTGAAAAAGAACCATTTAGAGCATCATTAGATACAACATTAGAAAATGAGACGCAATACAAACAAATATTTATTTTATTCCCCAATATCGTAATCCTATACTATTTTCATTAGCAGAGCAAAAATAAACAAAACAACTTTACATATTGCGCGTACCTGGATATTAACTTTATGTTTCTAGAAATATTCAGAAAAAGGCAATATCAGCATGTTAAAAAACATGTTACGAACCGGTTCTCCAGGGGGTCCAGGGGGTCCTGGTCTGCCTTGTGGGCCTGGAGGTCCCTTTCAGATTAAGACACAAAAACATATATGAATATAAATATTCTTTATATAAAATAATTCTTACATATAAATATTTTTATATTTTCACCTTGTGACAAATTTGGACTCAAAGAAATAAAATAATTTCTCACCATAATTCCTTGCACTCCAAGTGGTCCTGGAGGTCCACGAGGACCCTGTGAAAATAACACCATCATGTAAATTCACTTGCTTCAACATTTTCAACACAATCTAGATTGAAACTCTGTGTTATCTTTTTTAACATCTTAAAAAATATGTAATATCAATGTATAAGTACATTATAGGGGTGTGAATCTTCACTGGTTTCACGATTCGATTCGATTACAATTATCATGTCAACGATTCAACGATTAAATTTGATATCACGATGCATCATGATGCGTTGCATCCTCAATTCTAAATATTACTGCACATGGCTACATTTTCATATAAATTTTATATTTAAATAATAAATAAAGTATAGTAATAATAAAGGGGGAAAAAAGACAATTACAAGTGATAAACAAAAAGTACTTTCAGTATCTAATAGTGCTTTAAGTATTTGAAAGTTTCCAGACAATCATAGTTATAGGTTTTTCTTTTTTCCTCAGCATTACTGCTGTTTGATTATTACTGATGACATTATAGACAGTGGCAGTTTTAATAGGCTGCATTCACACTAATGCACAGATCTATTTCAACATATCAGATGTTTTGCCCTGTTCTGAAAACATACCTGACTGTGTTTACATCAATTTTGTATCATAAAAGTATTCGGAGATGCAAGTGCATTTAACCGCAGCTGCGATCAAGCTTCAGGACAACAAAAACAAAGTGCACGTCAAAGTCTGTCAGTATGTGAGTTTCCTGCATCTAATACATACTGCATTCAAAACCGCATAAATGAAAGCATATCTAAAGGAAAACACTGAAATAACAGCGGGTGGAAGCACACGCTGTCAAGCAATGCGCACATGTCTCACAGCGCATATATCCTCTGCAATGAAGCCTGCCGCGATTTTCTCTAGTCTAGCGCACACACGTGCCATATGTGGGGAAAACCAAGCTCAGAATCGTTGAAGAGACAATCACGATGCATCGGAGAATTAATATTTTCTCCCACCCTTAGTACATTATGCACAATGATATCTCATTTACATGCTTGGTCTACATGTAAGTTGTTGATTTCTGGATGTTAATTTATCTTTTACCTGAATTCCTGGTTCGCCTTTAGGTCCCATCAGACCCTACAGAAAATAAATTAACAACTAAGTAAATAAAGAAATAAAGAAATACATGAATTAACCCATTTTCTATTAATAATTACACTTGTCTTATAAATATTGTTTTCAGTCTGATATACAAACAAAATGCTAAATGCTAAAATCTAAAGCTACTTGAAATGCTTTTATATAGTGTGAACTTTGTGGTTGTCTGTGGGAAGTATGTGGGATGAAGAAACAATGTGAATAGTCATTGTCATTGCAAACCTGTATGACTCAGTGGAACAGAACAAAGCCATTGTCAGGCTCCAATTCTGACAAAAAGTACCATAACAGTTGTTCATTTGACTTGTACACTATATTCCAACTCTCTTGATGCTGTACCATATTATTGTGTGAGGAACAGACTGAAATTTCAGCTTTTGTGTTCCACAAAAGAAAGTTTGAAACAACATGAGAGCGAGTAAATGACAGAATTTTCTGTTTTGTGTGAACTGTCCCTTTAAATGAAGACAATCAAGAGTGTTTGTGAAGTTAAAATTCTTGAACAGGTACTTACAGGGGGTCCAGTGATTCCAATGCCAAGTTCTCCTTTCTCTCCAGCATCTCCAGGTACTCCAGGTACACCACGCTCACCCTGGTAGAGAACAAAAAAGTTAATTCAGCCAAACTAAATTAACTCCAAAATTCACAAAACACAGTCAAGTAGTGCAAGTTTAGACAATAAGGCTTGGCTGAATAATTATTGTGGTTTAAAATGAACATCTTCAGGCAGTATGTAGTAATTCATTTCAAATCAAACCCTTACAAACAGATGCTTACACAGCAGTAAAATCAGAGCTTTAACGAAGCGTTCTGCATAAGCAAATCATTTATGACAGCATGCAACTGGCTTAAATAAATGTTCTGGGTTTAATACAAGTTAAGCTCTATTACCACAGACAATTTCGACTTGTAACTCAGTTTGAAAACTGTATTCCACAAATTTTGCTTTGTTTTAAACTTTGGGAATGAGTCAAAAGGGTTTTCTGTGGTAATCGACATTATTCATAATGCTGACATTTCTTATGACACCATAAATAAAAAGTGGACTAAAAGACAAAGCACAGCACAGGGAAATATAACTGGGGATGTTCCTTTAAAGATAAACTACACAAGCGCAAAATTGAATACTTTAAAAAGAATCTCTCACAGTGACCTACCTTAGGGCCCCGCAACCCCCGAAGGCCAGACACGACCTCCTCCTAGTGCAAAACAAGAAATGAAACACAAACTCAAATGAATACCATATTCCTAGACCTTACATAAGACTCAGTTTCAGCCAGATAAGAAGACACAAGTCAAGAACTGAGAAACTTTCATAGGAACAGTCTGAAAATCAGTGTTTAGGAATACTAAAGTAGTGATGCTATGAAAACCGTGTTAAAAGAACAGTGTCATATTTTATATAAACAGGTAAATAAATAATTCACTTTTTCTTAACCACTTTAAATTAGTAGCTTGCAGCGTGACAAGACACAATTTCAAGCAGCTTCCTCAACATTGCCAAATACTGCACGCTCTTGAGTTCGGTGCAATTCACAGCAAATTTTTAATTGTTTTTCTCGGTATGATTTGCAAGCGATACTGCAGGAGCCGACAGTGTGAAAGAGTTACAGTAAGCATTATTTGCTCTATGCCACTGATGGAAAATTGATTTTTGTGGTCAGCAAGAATTAGATTAGCAAGTAGTTTTCGCATCGCAGAAGCCGCCACAGCAGGTAGGTAAACAGACTGTTTGAATCCTATAAAGTCAAAATACAGGATACTAAAGTATAGTGAACCGATTAAATACAGCAAGGCCTTGTTGGACTGAACGAAAAAGTGGGTGTTAGTGATATCAACAACAACAACAATTACTATATACTATTATTAGGGCTGGCTTAATACCACTTTTTCAGAACTGATCTCGATCCGATACCAAAAATTTGGAGTATCGCCCGATACCGATCCCGATCCGATACCAGTGCAGTTTTTTTTTAAATCAGTGTATAATTTGTATTCCTCAATGTGTTGACCTGATCATGATCAAAAGTTCAAAGCACAAAGGGAAGAGATACTGATGCGTACTGTATAATATCTGTGCGATAGTTTGAGTTTTTTCTTTAAACAGTTTTAAATTTCAGTTACTGTGCGCATGAAGAACAATTCATAGTGCTCTCTACTCCAGTGTAGTGATCTCTAACAGACACCCGGTAGAAACATGATTTAGAAACAGCACTAAACTCCAGCAAGATAAAGTCCTTTTATGCAAAACCACTGATCTTTATCTACAGATCAAGTATAATAATAGGAACATTGAATCATCTTAGAGAGAGTTTTATGCGACGCACAGTTTGAATGCTGAATGGAGGATGACTGACAGCCGCAGCAGAGAGAAGAGTTTACGTGAACTTGAATTTAACGACTTAAATATTAATCTGTACCTCACATTAAACTATGGAACGATCTCAGAACACTTGAAATATAGTGCACGAAAACTTTATGGTGCTTTATAATGTTTTTGTGCCTTTCGTGGGGCATAACAATAACAATAGTATACGCAGAATATCGGATTTGGATCGGTCTCATCTGACCGATACCCGATCCAGCAGAAAATGGCAGTATCGGAGCCAATACCGATACTGAATATCGAATCGGCGCACCCCTAACTATTATTTCTGTCAGGACCACTATCGTCATATATGATTGACAATTAGCATACAGTTTGGATTGGCGGTATGGTTCTGTTCTGGCAAGAACTCCCTGCGCATCCATGCAGCCTAGCATGGATGAGAGCAGGGAGAGCAGCAATAACCCCCCAGGGTAAACAGAACAGAACCAACATAAATGTATTGCAGATATTGTTAAAGTTCAATAATGTTATGTACACATTTTAGATTTAGTCAGATTCAAAGGAGAATCAGAAGGCTGTATCCCGACTGACAGAGGAGGAGTTGGGGATGGAGGAGGGTAATTAGCTATTGAGCAATGCGAAAACTGCTGATAATACTGAGGGACCTTATACATGAATGCTTAGATAGGTGTCGTATTCCCATAGGTTGATGGGGATCAGCTGAGAGTCAGCTGATGCGAGCTTGACTAACGTGACCTGCCAGAACTAACGCTACGCTTGATTATTATTATTATTATTATTTTTATATAAAGTCTCGCCTTACATTTTTTTACTGTACAATTAAGTATTGAATAATAATAATAATAATAATAATAATAAGGCATTTAACATACTTTTCATGATCAAATCAAGTTTAAAGTTTTTTTCTTCAATTTAAATTATTACATTATTATTATTATTATTATTATTATTATAAAGAGCGTCATAAAATTGTGTTAGTTTTGATTTCATTCGTTCACTTCACTCATATAAATTTCCCTCTCTTTCTCTTTTCCACTAAAACAGAGGAGATAAAGGTGGCTGATGACTTCATGCTATACTGATTTCCGTCCAGCAAATCATTTAGCTGATCAACAAGTGCTCAGTCTGCCCACCACCCATCTGTCTATATGCTTTATGCTGGATGACTCACCACCTTTACCGTTAATGTGCAGTTTCTCTCCTTCCCTCACAAACAAAACATTTCTTAGGTCAGAGCTCAGCTGGCACCTAACTAGCATGAAAACTGCTTAAAGTCAGCATGAAATAAAATGCAATAGCAAACGACTATTCAATGATCCAGTCCACTCCTGATGGACAAAATCATGTCCTACAACATCATGTCCTGCTCTGCAGTTTTTTCTTGTTTAAGAAGCCGCTTTACTCAGAAATATATCACAACAGAGAAGAAAAGATGATCACAACTTCTATTTCATGCAGTCTTTAAATAGTTTATACTATTACATTACAAACTAGAAATGTAACAGGTGTACCGTTAGGATGGCACAGCAAAGGTGTATTTAAAGGTAGTTTTACCAAAGCAGTGTATTAGCATGAGCAGTATTTCATTGTCAAAGCTGAAATCAATGAGCTGTCATCTGTCTGCTACTACATTCTTTCTCATTCAAGAAGCTATTTCACTCAGATATAACTTTAATTAGACCAGACCAGACCAGACAGTGGTTTTGAAATAACTGGACAAGAATTGTTTGAGTTGAAATTGAGATTTCTAACAGATTGCAGGCTGGTATCTTGGCCACAGTCCGAGACATTGTTTAGATCTTTTCTGAAACCCTAGATGAGACAGTAGCTTTTTCCTGAGAAAACCAAGAAGCAGGAGACTGAATCAAAAGTCTCAACTTCCTTCCATATATTCTCACTGATTTCTAAGAGAAACATCTGAGGTATTTTACAGATCTCATAGGTGATTTTTCTCTCTCATGGCTTGGACAGCTGACAGGTGCACTGTAAGGACGGCACAGAAAAGGCGTTTTTCAAGATTTTTTACCAAAGTGGTGAATTAGCATGAACAGTATTTCATTGTAAAAGCTGAAAACAAGGAGCTGTTGATCGATAACCCCGGCTGCTGGTAGAGGAAGAATGCGTGTGCGGCAATGTGTTGCAGATTTACAGGTGCATAACATCATTGTCAGTGTGCCTCTTAAATCTGAGATGTCATCAAGGCGGTGGGATGTTGGATAAGTGTTGAGTGATATTCTGTTTGTGTCTATAAGGGGTGCCGAAAGAGAAGATACTGAGTGGGGAACATGGAGGTGAAGTGAAATAGAAAGATAGGAATGGTGTTGTGTACCTACCCCATTGCAAAGTCCGACAGAGCAAGGATGACCAGGTTCACCCTTGAGGCCCGGGGGGCCTATCGGTCCCGGCGCTCCACCTGCATCAGCCTGCAAACACACACCGACAGCTGGCATTTAGAGTTGCTGTCACCTCAGGTTTGTCATTTGACAGGTTTAGGAGCACCGCAAAAATGCACACACATGCCTGCCTTCACACACACATAAAATAAGAGCTGAACGTAAATATCACAGACATCTGGGGCAAATGCCACCAACCTAGAAATCGCATCATGCAGCTTCAGTGGTGAGATGAGAGACTAAAAAAGCACTCTAAACATACGCTATGCTGAACATGCTCACTTTATTAAAGACGCTGTAGTGATTGAGCGATCTGTGAATATTTTGAATGCATTTTTGCCAGTCGACTTTCTCACAATAACTTTAAATTAGTCATCTAACAAAATATTTGCAAATTTGAATTATTACTGGAGGAAAGTGTACTTAAGGCCCCTTCCTACCATGATGCAATGTCTTAGCCTACTGAAAAATAAGACCAACATTAGTAATTGGAATATATACAGTACATAGTAAAAATAAAATAAAAATAAGACTAAAAAATAATATAACATTCAAATGTTTTTGGCAATTAAAACATAATATAAACATTAGATAAAAAAAATAATTTTTAATACGTTTTAATACCTGAAATTGTAAGTTGAAGTTATTAAAACTAATACTGAAATAAAATAAAATAAAAATAAATACATATAAATATTAAAAAATAAATAAAAATGACAAAAGCACCAAAATACTAAAACTAAAATTCAAATATAAAAATAAAAGTCAATTCAAAATATTCAAAATAATTATAAAATAAAACATTAGTTTTATTGAAAAAGGCTATTTTACTTAATCACTCATATTATTTTAATGTTTATTAATATTAAGTCCTCAGATTGTTACTCAATGATGGGGAGAATTTTGGAAATGAATCTGCAAAGCGTCCAGCCATTCTTTAGTTCTATAAATCATCTAAAGATCAATTTTGCTGTAGGCCTAGTTTCAGATCAGAGGTAGTAGTGTGCTTTAGACTAGATTTCCAGATTCATTATACTTTCCAGTATCTCTACAGACATGTCACATTTTGCCTTCCAAAGGACCCCAATAAATAACAAACACGAAGAAGTAATTCTTTGAGATACCTCAAGTGACCCTACTATCGATCTTAACTCTGAAACTATTTCAGCATACAGCTTTTTATCTGCTTGATGCACAAGCAAAACACAGCTCAGTGAAGTCTAATGTGAACAAATTCTTCTGAACATGATTTAGTGCTTCAACATATGCAGAAACAAGGAAAACATCATATTAGAAACATGCAGCCCCAGTCACAGAGTGCTCTTGTGTACCTTTTCTCCTTTCATTCCATCTTTTCCAGGCAGTCCTAGCTGACCGGGAGAGCCCTGGAAAAAAAAAAGGAGAGATAAGACACATGCCTGTCAGCTTTAGCTGTTCCCCCTTTTTCATTTTTAATTTGATCCCTAGCATCCCCCATCCTTGTGCTCCCATCTTTTTGGAATAAAGGCAGATGCTCGTTAGCAGAAGCAGGTGCCGAGAACAGATTGTGATGCTGATGCTGTTTCATCCCACACGTAGAGAACTCAGATGTACCCGTCCCTGCAAATTAATTTTCAGATTACCGATTGATTACTGATTGTCTGTGCAACAATTTACAGCTCTGCATCCTCATTTTTCTCGCCTCTGTTATTTATACGTGCATTGTCTTTTTTCTGTTTATGAGTGTGTGTGAGTGAGTGAGTGAGTGGGAACAACTAAAAGGATGGGGAATGTGTGATTAAAGCAAATCTAGATTTTTACATTTTCATGTGGTGTTAGCCCATGCAAAACTCTATGGTACTGTGAAGAATCTTTCAATTGCACAACAGGCTCTTCACGGTGTTCTTTAGGATATCAAAATGTTTTTCAAACTAAGGAAAAAACTAAGGAACCCAAAACTGTACTTATATGGCATTACTGCAAAAACTCATTTTTTGAACCTTTATTCATAAAGGAATAGCTCACCCAAAAACAAAAGTTTGCTAAAAATTTACTCACCCTCAGGCAATGCAAGATGTAGATGAGATTGTTTCTTTCTTGTTTCTTCTTCAGAACAGATTTGGAGAAATTTAGCATTATACATCACTTGCTCATCAATGGATACTCTGTAGTGAATGGGTGCCGTCAGAATGAGAGTTTAAATAACGGACAAAAAGCTCAAATAAAAAGGATCATGCTGTTTGTACTCTCATTCTGACGGCACCCATTCCCTGCAGAGAATCCTTTGGTGAGCAAGTGATGTAATGCTTTCTCCAATCTGTTCCAATGAAGAAACAAGAAATGGATTCTACACCAGTTCCGATGAAGAAACAAACTCATCTACATCATTTTCATTTGTAGGTCACTTCTTTAAGAGTGTATGATATTCTGGTACCTAAATATGTCTCAAGTTGCCTCATTTACAGTATTTTATCATGCATTTTCTTGTTTGCCTGGCAAAAATGTACTTTTGATCAGTTACAAATTTACCCAAGCAGTGTGGGACGAGTTGAGAAACTTACTGGGTCTCCTGGAAGACCACGAAGGCCAATGGGACCAGTTGGACCCTGCTTTCCCTGTAAGAGCACAAACACATGTTGAGATCTTTTCATATAAGCAGCATGACCTTATTCAAACTACGTCATTAGCTAAATTGTATGGAAAATGTGAAATCAGTTTGTGCCTAACTCTGAGAGAGAGAGCAAATGAAAACATGCTTTGAAAACTCTTGCTTCAGGTACTGATTTTGGACCAGCTGTGTAGCATTTTAACGGCTTGCTATTCTGAGAGGTCTCTATCTATCTGTGCCCTTAACTAAAATGAAGGCCGCAATCAGATGCTTACTGTGACCTTGGTAACATGCCACAACCCATTCAACCCAGCAAGAACTGATTGCAATAAGCCACCCGTAAGAAAGCGTTTGGCACTGGTCAGTAAATCAGAGAGATCACGACAGAGCTGCTATTCTGCTGGTCAACCACATTGACAAGGTTAGCAATAATTCCATCACACCAAAGTAGAAAGACTTTAATGTTCTTTCTATCTTGGTCAAATCATAAGAAGTCAGAATGGAGGGTTTATGGAGACAGGAATTTCATACCTCAAGTCCTGGTGCCCCTGTCAGTCCAGGCAATCCAGTATTGCCCTTTATCAGAGTTAAATAAAAGAAAGAAAGACAGAAAAAACATTAAGAAAAAGAGAAGAAAGACAGAAAATGATCTTTCTCAGAAAATGGTGCCATTTACCAGAACATTTCAGAATAAATTTGCAACATTTGATCTGAAAAGGTTAGTGCTAACTATACAATTTAACCCACTTCATGTCCAAAGTAACATGGCTATAAAAATAAATAAATATATTTTATAACTATAATTATTAAATATATTATTATATTATATTACATTATAAAAGTATATTATATTTATTATTATTATTATAGAAAAATAAATTAGGGCATTGAGGGATATTTTAATTTAAATAAATATAAAAGATACACACACACACACACACACTTTTGCATTACACACTAAATACAGTTAAATCTATGAAATGATGTGACAATGTTTAGTAACCTGTTAATTGTATATATCACCATTTTCTTGGAATGACCCAAATAGAGACAGGTCACTTTTTTTTTTTTTTAAAGCTAATAGTCTTTTAACACTGATACTGAAACATGCTGATCGCTGTACAATCTGTTGTTCTGATGTGCATTACTCCAAAATTTGCACAACATTTTGTGCACTTTACTTACCTGAAGACCTTTTGAGCCCTCAGAACCTTTTTCACCCTGGAGAAAGAAGAGAAAATGCTGACTGCAATGCATGAAATCACATTTTCAAGAGGACCTACAGTAAAACAAGAGACCAAGGTCGAAAAATATCTTATTATGTGCCCATGCTTTCAAAATGTTTCCTTTTAAAACCTTTGTGTCTCTAAAAACATCTGACAGATTAAAGAGAGAGCCGGATTGAGCGTTTTGATTGACTGTCCATTGTATTGATTCAGCACAGCTTTCATATTTTCCTTTTTATTTCAAGACAAGGCTGCCAAAACAGACTTTTAAAAACCACTCGGCATAAGTTCAACATTTGAATGATCTTACAATCTGTTGTGGATGCATGACAAACAATGCTAACGTGTGCCTACTAACCTGGTCTCCTTTCTCTCCTTTCTGACCTCCTTCCCCCTCATGGATTATAGAAAGAGGAAACAAACAAAATAATGGATAGAGATTATTCATGGAGGAAATGCATGATTACATAAAAAAAAAAAAAACACACAGCGGGAGTCAGTTTACTATGTACTGTATAGTATGTTATTTAAACAGCTCATCTGACTGAAAATCATTTCCAAATACATTGCAAATGCAAATCTAGGATTCAATGAAAAGTTTAATTACAAGTGATTTAATACTAATAATCATAATAATAACAAAAGCAATGTTATGATGTAAATGAATAAATACTGAATAAATGAATAAATATTTTCTGTCTGATAATTTGGAATCATGGATTTGCATTTGCAAAAATAAAATAAAAATAAACAGTGTTAAGCTAAAATATAATTGTAATTTTAAATTCAATTTAAAATATTAGAAAACAAACAAAAAATAAACTTTTTTCACTAATGGTCTCAGATGCATCAGTATTTCAAATGGTATCTAAACTTACAGTTCCAGAAAGTCTAAGTCCATGTGCTGTCATCACCTTAATAAAGAAAAAAGACTATTTAATATTGACATTAATTTATACTGTTACAGAAAACTACCATGAGAGACAGCATTGACTGCAATTGGGAATGCAATTGGGAATGCAGGGAACCTGTGTCAGAATGAACCCAGGACCTGCATGCTCTTATGGAATTATCATTAGAAAGAGCTTATCAGTTATGATTTAATGCTTTCTCATGCTCCACTCTTAGTTCTCAGTTCAGTGATAACCTCAACATCTCCGCAGAAGCATGAAACAGAAGCTTCCTGTCTCATTCTTAACTGACTGGACAGTCTCTATGCGAGAGATTAACATTAATCCAGGGTTTATGACATTTAAAATAGCAAGAGCCTTTTACTGCAACAAGAGGCCTGTGAATATAGACCCAAAAGTGCCTCTTCAGGGCATCACGGTCTGCCACATAGAGGTGGATTCTGAATCTGCTTTACAGCTTTCCATTTACCCATTAACTACCAGCAGGTTTAATAGCCTGTCAATCATTCTGACGGCTTTCAGTCTGTGGTGAAAGACAGATTGTTTTGTTGATGTATCCGTGGATTCATCTACTGCATTTCATGTGCTGCAAAACAGAAGTCCATGAATAAAGATGAAACAACAGGAGGCCTGATGTAACTTCAAGACAAAGTTGGTCTAGAGAATGAATTGCAGAATTTTTTCCTGTTTTGTACATTTATTCATTGTGCTGAATAAATGCATGTAAATATATGAGCTCTGTTTCGAAACATAGGGAGTTGCCGATTAATACATCATCCTAGGTGAAATGGAACCTCACAAGTGACTGAAACATTGGCCATTTAGTGTTAGAATGTTGCTAATGACACAATACTTTAAACACAATAATATATTGCACAATATTGGGTAAATTGATTTAGTTCATTTTTAAATATTAAATATACTAAATATTTATACTATGTTTTATTAAATGCAGAAAACTATATATTATAATATGTATTATTCAATTTAAAATAACTATTTTTATTTTAATATATTTTAAAATGTAATTTATTCCTGTGACGGCAAAGCTGAATTTTCAGAAGTCATTATTCCAGACTTCAGTGTCACATGATTATTCAGGAATCCTTCTAATATGCTGATTTTGTAGTCATGAAACATTTCTTATCATTATCAATGTTGAAAACAGTTGTGCTGTTTAATCTTTTTGTGGAAACCAAGATATTTTGTTTCAGGATTCTTGCCACTTTAAAAAATGTAATGCATCTCTGCTAAATATAAAAAAAGAAAAAATTGGGTGCTATACAATCAAAAGCAAAAATACACTTTTTTTTTTTTAAATAAAGCATTGAAATCAGTTGAGTACAACCATACATCGACGTGCTCTGGTCTGAGCTCAGAAAAACAACTAATTACCATTATAGAAGCTAGAATGTAATTAAAATCTTGAAATGGGATTTAGGATACAGTTGTTCAAACAATTTTTTTTTTCTTTGAACAGAAAAAAAACATTAATTATACATTCTTAATTAAAACAGAGCTAGCTCTAAACATCATGCTCCATTCAGAGCCGGCTACAATCAAATTACAAACTAAAGAGGAAACCATGAGAGAATAATCAAACTCTTAAAAGCCAGTTTATATTTGTGTCACCCATCATCATAATTAGCCGTTTCAGAACAGGCAAAAAAAAAAAACTATCAGATTCTTTGGTGTTCCAGGCTTCATGAATCATTGTAAATTGGTTTAAAAGGGCTACAGTCATCTCGCTTCTCCTATTTAGCTAGAGATTCACACAGCAGGCAGCATCAGTTGATTTTGTGCCCTGCTGTCAAATCGCACCTTTCGTCTCCCACTTTTTTATTTAATTGACACAGGCAATGCGGTTCCAAACCTGCAAATTTTGTACTAAGTGCAACCAAAAAGCTTTTGGCTTCTCAGCTCTCAAAGGTTTTCTTATTAGTGACCAGTCAGCAGAGATGAAGCTGATGAACAGTGCTGCAATGATGCAGTACACTCTACACTCTCAATATGACGGAAGATGTTGGTGGTGGTAGTTACTGTAACTTCAACTTTGACAAACATAAAATGCAGAACAAACAAGAAATTTTGTTCTCCTTTCCCCCTCAATTCTCCCCTCAATCATGTGTTTTGAAGACTACACTGACGTTATATTAAATTTAGAATAACATTTTTTTATTCAGCAAGGATTGACAAAAAAATTACAGCAAACTCATTTATAATGTTACAAATTTAACATATATAAATGTTGCTATTTCCATTTTTAAACAAATGCTGTTATTTTGAACTTTCTATTCATCAAAGAATCCTGAAAAAAAAAAAGTTTGAGCCATCCATTCATCATATCATCATGCAAAACTAAGAATTAAAATCATTGTAATGTGACGATCAAATATAGGTGCGGGTGGGTGGCGGGCGGATAATTTGAAGCAGCGGACTCGGGTGAAGTTTGAGCTCATCCGCGCATCTCTACACTACACTGACCTGGGTCGCCAGTAGCAAACAATGGAGCGCTCTGCTGGACAAACTAAGTAATTACACCATTCAGAAGCATTTAATCTGCGTTATATGTTCTGTAAAAAAAATTTTCATATCGGCGGCATATTCGCCGATACCGATATATCGCCGACAGGCTCATATCGGCCGATAATATCGGCTAAACGATATATCGGTCGGGCTCTACTTTTTATCTCACAATTCTGACTTTTTTAACATATAAACTCGCAATTGCGAACTATAAAGCCAGAATTGTGAGATATAAACTCAGAATTGCGAGTTATAAAGTCAGAATTGCGAGATATATAGTCACAATTGCTGCAAAAATTCTGACTTTTTTTCTAGCAATTGCGAATTTATCTCTCGCAATTCCGACTTTTTTTCTCAGAACTGCGAGTTTATATCTCGCAATTGCATCATATAAACTCGCAATTGCAAATTAAAGTCAAATTTTGAGGGGGGGAAAAGATTGATATGTTCTCAGAGTTGCACGTTTATATCTCACAATTCTGATTTTATAGCTCGCAATTGCGTGTTATAAAGTCAGAATTGCGAGATATAAACTTGCAATTCTGAGAAAAAAAGTCAGAACTGTGAGTTTATTTCTCAGAATTGCGACTTTTATGTCTCGCAATTGCAAGTTTATATCACGCAATTGTCATTATTTCTCAGAAAAAAAGTCAGAATTGTGAGTTTGTATCATGAAATTCTGAGAAAAATGTCAGAATTGCGAGTTTGTATCACGAAATTTTGAGAAAAAAAGTCAGAATTGTGAGATAAAAAGTCGCAATTACCTTTTTTTCTTTTTTATTCAGTGGCCGAAACAGGCTTCCATAGAAATGATTCTTAAGCACCAAATCAGCATATTAGAATGATTTTTTTTAGCAAATTAGATTTTTTTGACACTGAAGACAGAATTCAGCATTGTCATCATGAATAAATTCCACTTTAGAATATGTTACGATAGAAAAGAGTTATTTTACACTGTAATATTATTTCACAATATTATGGATTTTACTGTGTTTTTGAGCAAATAAATGCAATAGTTAATAATAAATGCAAAATGAGGTTTAAAATGAATCCTACAGCAATGACTCGGAATCATTTATTAGACTTGAATCATCTTTGTGGAGTCGTTCATGGCATGAAGATCGATGTGTCTATCAAAGACCTTGTGTGTGTGACTATTAGGGGAAGTCGTGGCCAAAATGAGGTTTAAAATGAATCCTACAGCAATGACTCGGAATCATTTATTAGACTTGAATCATCTTTGTGGAGTCGTTCATGGCATGAAGATGTGATGTGTGTGACTATTAGGGGAAGTCGTGGCCTAATGGTTATAGAGTCGGACTCGTAACCCAAAGGTTGTGGGTTCGAGTCTCGTAGCGGCAGGGATTGTAGGTGGGGGGACTGAGGTGAGGTGCACTGAACCCCCAACTGCTCCCCAGGCGCCGCAGCAAAAAATGTCTGCCCACTGCTCCGGGTTTGTGTTCATGGTGTGTGTGTGTTCACTGCTGTGTGTGTGCACTTTGGATGGGATAAATGCGTGCACTAATTCCGAGTATGGGTCACCATACTTGGCCACATGTCACGTCACTATGTGATATATCTGTATGCGTCAGAACCTCTGATTGAACCAGTATAGTACTCACAGGGCCTGATGGTCCTCTGGGGCCTTCCTCACCCTAAAGGAATAAAGAAACACAAACACAGAGAAAAGAAAAGAGAATCAAATAAACCACAGAATTGACTGAGTCTGAACCTCAGTTATAGTCAAAAGGTTTTCTACACAAGACTATGATTTATTAGACAGAAATGGTAAACAAGTGAACAGACCCACCTCCTCCCAGCACACATGCACAGAACTAACAAATAAAACATGCATTACCCACCTTTTGCCCCTTTATTCCACTGGCTACCTCCAGGCCAGGCAAACCCTGTGAAGTGAGATTTTAGAAGAGACGAATGTATCATGAGGTAAATAAGCACACAAAAATCTGATGGCTGTGTCTGTGATGGGATTTTCAAACAGAGCTCTGAGATGTTACATACAGGATCCCCTTTATCGCCCTTCAGTCCATCCTTTCCTGTAACACCTGGGTCACCCTTCATCCCCTGAAAAACAATGACAAATAATCACACATATGCATACAACATATGAACACACAGATAATATTGTGTAGGGGTGAATAACCTGTGACAGGGGCAAAGCGGGCAACCACTGGCACAAAAGATTCATTTTAAAATGTATTTATTTTATTGTTATTTTATGTTATTGTCATTTTTATTTTATTATTGTTTATAATTATTTTATTAGTGGTTACATTTTTGAAAGAAGTCTCTTATGCTCACCAAGGCTGCAATTATATGATAAAAAAAAAAGCAGTAAAAATGTGAAAAAATATTACAATTGAAAATAACTGTCTATTTTAATATACGTGTAATGCCAAAGCTACATTTTCCATTACTCCTGCCATTACTCATTATTCTCTTACACTCTTATTCTGGTTTTGTGTTAAAAAAAAAACAAAACATTTGTGACCCTGGACCACAAAACGAGTCTTAAGTTGCTGGGGTATATTTGTAGCAATAGCCAAAAAAAACATTGTATGGATCAAAATTATCGATTTTTTTATGCTAAAAATCATTAGGATATTAAGTAAAGATCACGTTCCATGAAGATATTTTGTAAATTTCCTACCGTAAATATATCAAAACTTAACTTTTGATTAGTAATATGCATTGCTAAGAACTTAATTTGGACAACTTTAAAGGCGATTTTCTCAATATTTTGATTTTTTTGCTCCCTCAGATTCCAGATTTTCAAATAGTTGTATCTCGGCCAAATACTGTCCTATCATAACAAACCACACATCAATGGGAAGCTTATTTATTCGGCTTTCAGATGATGTATAAATCAAATATTCTTCAGTCATTCTTATGTCCAGGGTCACATTTATTTAAAGTAACTTTTGTAACAATGTAAAAGTCTTCAGTGTCACTTTTTACCAATGTGTTCCTGCTATTAAAATAAGTATTAAACATATGTATCTACAGTGTGTGTATGTGTGTGTGTATACACACACACACACACACACACACACACACTCTCTCTTTTTAAATATGTATTTATTTATTTTTTGCATTTAATACAACAAGTTCTCAACCTTCTTGACTTGACCTTTCCAAGCATTTGATTACTAGATACTGATGTATATGATTTTTTATTATTTATTTATTTAATTTTTTTCATTGCTTGTTCATTATCGTCAAAATATTAACATTCAACACAGACACTTCCCTGACTATTACTTATTTCCCTGACCTTTTTCATGCCAGGAAATCACAATTTATAGCAATGACTAAACTGCAATGACAGTGACACTCAAATTCACATCATGTTATTACATAAGTCAATGGAAAGACCACACACGACAACACTGTTTCAAACACTGAAAAAGCAATGAAGCTGTAATAAGCATGATTCATTCATGCGGCCATGCATGCTGGGAGTCTAGCATCCAGCACTGCACATATCACACTTATTTTTCTTTGGCGGTGTTGATGTGATGTGGCACAGTGAACTACAATATTTAAATGTTAAATTTCAAACTGGTCTCTGAACCCTTATTTAATCTAACTTCCATTACACAAATGTGCCCATGTTTGCATACATCACGCATGATGGCGTGCCACTTAATTACAGTCACTAAACATGAAATCAATGTTCTGCAAGTCGCCATAGTACATCATGTCACACAGATAGGACAGGAATTTATCAGCCAATAGATGGCACTTTGTCACTGAAGATAAATTCCTGTCTCACTCACGTCCATTTTGAGACGCTGTCCTCTCTCAAGACAATGCAAACTGAGCATCTTTTATACTGGCAGGCGGGACACTGAGCATTTATCGTCTATATATTGAGTCTGGAATCCATTTGTAGTTTCAGATACTCCAACACACAGAATTCAGAGTTAAATGATGCAAAGATATGAAGGATTTAGAATTGAATGCTCTATTTTCTTTCAAAACAAACATCATTGAGAGATAGAGAGAGTTGGAGGAAGTGTTGAGGAGAGAAGGGACCATCCCAAAACATCCCTGTGGTGAATTTAGTGGTGTCAGACTTGACTGAACGCTGTATGTACATTACAATTCATGAGAGGAACTCTGTGGAAAGGTAATACAATTTGTCTACTCAACCTGGAAAAGACATTTCCCCCAAGATGTACAGTTTTTTTCTTTTCCATAATATTGTTTATAAGCACAACAAAGTGCACACAAAAGACGGCAGTGTGTTTGGTCAAATGCCAAAGCTCACAGTCTCTGTTCCTCTCCGTAATTGCCACCTCCCAAACCACCTCCCGAGTGATCAGATTGCTATCCAGCATCTTGGACACTCTGCACAACAGCAATCCAATCCGTAAAAAAAAAAAAAAAACATCAAAAGCTTCAAGTTATATTTGAGAAGTTGACATATGTTTTCACTGTGCTTCATGAAAATAATTAAAATATTTTGGAATTTCGTAATAAAAAATAATGTGTATTTTTTATGACCGACTTTCTGAATATTGTTTGAATTTCATGATGCAATTTTGAAAGAAATTCAGTTGAAATTACAATATGTCCCCAGTGTGGAATAGCACATAAGAGCTTAATTTAATTAATCATTCTGGTGCTGAATTCAAATAAATAATAAAAAGTGTTATATCTTTGGATTTTTTTTTTTTTTTTATATAATTCATAGAAAAAATAATAAAATGTTCACAGTTATTTTTAAGTAATTTTTCTGGCACAGTTAATATGAGCTGGGATCTAAACAAAGACATCCAGGACCATCTTAACTAACTAACTAACTAACTAACTAACTAACTATCATTTAAGATTAAAAACATTTTAAAATAAATATTTGAAAAAAAAAAAAGCATTTTAAACTCATTTAAATGAATGAATGAATGTGAAGGAAACAATGCTAATGGTTATCAGCTATAAAAGCTCATTTAAATGGTCCTGTGGTGTGACATGCTAAATCAATTCAAAACAGCACTTTTCAAATTTTATTCTAATTATTGCACAGTCAATATTCATAACCTCATATTAATATTTCATTAAACATTTGTACTTTTAAAAATTAAAAATTAAAATTTAAAATGAACTAGTGAATCGCAAGAGTGAAAAACTTGGGGGTGACCAATGGAGGTTGATTAAATGGAGGTTAAAAATGCTGACAAATTATAGAATTTAACACTTTCTTTGGATTATTTATACAACTGTATGTTTTTAATGTCATTTGGGACACCCCACACTTAAATAAAAGTGTCCTCAGGCAAACAAAGTGACCTATTATACAAGTAAGTGGTTATGATGTAGGTATCCTACATTCTGACTTTTTACCCGCAGCAGGACAATAAGGTCAAAAGTATGTTAACCACACTATGTGTATTGACCATGAACAACTCTCTAACAAAGAGCAGCAATTACTCAGCTCTGAACTCTTGCAGCGTGAGTCTGTCAAAGTGCTCTCTTTGCGCTGTCAGGACAAACGTATGCAGATGCTACACAGCCCTCTCACTGTTCTCAGAGTCCAGGCACAGTCCAATGCTTGTGTGAACGGGTGGAGATGACACACACACATACACACTGCTCTCACAAGAGCAAATTGGAACACTGCAAACACACTCTCCTTCTGTCTGAGCTCAAAGGTGCAGCGAAGCAAAAAGCCTCTCCCTCTGGTCCTCTTTGTCAAGCATCAGCTCCTCCGCCAAACCCCTGTGTAATCCTGAATCCCTGCGTGAAGGTTTATAGGAAATATTCTCGCTGAGGGAAGAGAGTGTCTTTTACGGCCAGCTGATGATAGACGCTCACTCGTGATCAGTAAGAAAAGCCACACAGAATGGACGGAGTCTGAATAGCTCTACTAAGAGCTCGACCGCACAATTGCTCTTCTTACTTTGGGCTCTCCTGCTGAGAAAAGCAACTTGAACCAGCCTAAGGTGGTTTGTTGCACGTGCAGCCTGTCAAAACAGCTGTTTTAGATGGTTTAGTCGGTCTTGCAGCCTGACCACTCTAAAACCAGCTGGTGAGTGCCCGAAACCCCTTGTTTGTGCTGTGTTTTCCAGCAGAGCCATTATCATTTCCATGTACGCTCATGTAAACGCAGCTGCTTTTCAACTGTGGGAACTTTTGGCCCTGTTGACTTATAAACTCCTCTAAAACAAAAACTCAAAAATGAAGTCCCTTAAAACACACTTTTTAAGTTTTTCAACATTTTCCAACAGTGTACATGTGTGAGAGAAGAATTATGTTTATATATATTTTTTTTCAGAACCATTTTCTTTAATCCAACAAATGTTATTTCTATCACAACTTTTGTTTGACAAACATTACATGCTGGAAATTTTTTTATTTGTTTTTAAACACTTGAACATTTTTGTCCATGGTGGAAATGATGCCAAAACTGACAGTTATAATTTATGTAAAATTAATATCAATCTTTTGCCAAAAATTAACATTAAAGTGCATTAAAAACTTAAAGTGCACTTAAACTGTGCAGACAAATCCGACCAGCTGACAAGTTCCCAAAACCCCTCAAGAATTAAATATATATTTGCAGCCAAAATCATGGTCATGGTGAAAAAGACATTGATAGTCTTTTTACTAAATAAACACTGACATTTTTAAAGTTTCAAAGTTTCAAATGGTTTTAAAATGTTAAGTATTACAATTTTGTAAGATTGAAAGTGGTTCTGCAACATGAGTAAAACAACAAAATCTATCAAAGCAAAACAAAACAATGAAAGAAACATTCCCAAGATTCTTTATAAAAGAAAATGAAATAAAAATTAAGATTTTTTTTTTGAGTATTTAAAAAAAATAAGTAATAACATTTACAAATAATAGTTAGTTTTAATACAAAATTCACATGCTTAAAGTCTAGTGTGATGCAAAGGGTCTCTGGGGTGTGCAAAGAATTTAACCAACAAACAAGTGTTTCAGCAGTAGTTTTAAAACAAGTGAGCAGCCTTTCTGAGTGGCTCTCTTAATGTGTTTGTATTCCTAATGGGCAGCGCAAAAATACCAAAGACCCTGAGGCATTTTGTTCTATGAAAGGACCACAAGAAGGTCAAACATTGACAGACGGCCCTGATACTGTATGATACAGACTGACTTTAAATGCAAAGCCAAAGGGTCCGAGCCTCACTCAGACGATGAGGAACCTTTTATCTCTGAATACAGCTCATGGTTAAAATAAACTTCTCTCCACATAATGGTTTGGTTTGTGTGTATCTTCATACATAAAACTTAATTTAATTGAGTGTCTCAGGATCACAGCATGCCTTACTGTATAGAAATATTGCTAATGTATTGACTACGCATCTCTACAAAACCCACCCAACCAACTATTCAAAATGACATGTGTTAAAGTTTTCTAATTGGCTAATGCATGCAGGCATGCTGTCTGTCATTTGTTGCTAAGGTACTACACTTAAACTGATCGATGGTACAAAACTAGTTAATACAACTGACTCATTTTACGTCATAAACTACAGAAAAATTCTCGAAATTCTGTATTTATCAACAATAAATCAGCCTACATTGTTTGTCCTTGTCCTTTTGTCCCTCCGGGCCTTAGCACAGTTGAATCATGGCATGTCCTGTACTTGAACACATACACAGCTTCAAGGCCTTCCAAAATTAAAGCACAGATTTCTTGATAAACTATTAGGGTTTTCTCTTTTTAACGCTCCAGGTTTAAAAACAAGAAAATAGTTTTGACTCCAGCCAGTTTCCAGTTAAAATTAAATTCTATAGACTAAGGCATTTCGGAGGGCTTAAAAGCAGAAATGTGCCGCTGTTTTCTCAATAACTTTTTTTTTTAAATAGAAGAATAAACTTCCTTAAAATATGAGCTTTCTATTTCTGCTTTGAAACTCTCTGAAATGACTTGCCCCATAGACTCCCATTGTAACTGCATGGCTGTAAATGCAAATTTTCTTTGTTTTTACGAAACGGCGGATCAGATGAAATTTGTTTCTGTGGCAGTCAACAGTATGTCAAAAATGCTGTCGATAGCCCTTAATCTGCTTTTAACCCGAAACATTCATTTAATTACACCCAAGCCTGAATCATTTGCCCCAAGTTAGATGTCAGGTGGGTTTGTCTGGGATCAGATAAACATTGCTCCTGGTTACTTTTTGTCCATTTGACTAAATTAAAACAGTAATTACCTTCACTTAGAGGAAATTAAGAAAAATTATTTTGATCTAAACTGGCCACGAACAGCAGAACAACTCAAAAATAATCTAGCGTTGTTTAGACATCACACCATCTGAATGATAAAATTAACTCGCTTTAATTACTGTACTTGTCAAACTGAGGGACCTGAAACAGGTTGTATCAAATTGACTGGAAAAGAAAAATGTAGGTTATAAAACATTTTTTTCATTAATGAAGGTATCCAGGCACAATTCTGGTGTGATATAAACTCATGAGCATGAGAAAAACAGATCCATAACACTTGGTATGGAACAGCACAGCAAAAGTAAAAAATAAAACTAAATATTTTTAATAAATATCTACAAAACAAGAACAATTTACTTAAGACTGCATAAGATTAAGACTTTAATACTTTTTTCTTATCTCATTACCAAATAAATTTATTTTTATTCACGCATAAATCTAACAAAAAAAAAATCTATAATAATAAAGAAAGAAATTGACCACAGGTTAAAAAAAACATAATTCAATTATTTTTTGCAGTGTGTCATTGCTTTGGCATTAATTGACCAGAAAAACCAGGTGACCAGAAGTCAAACAGTAAGCAAAGGGTAACTTATATGGTTAACTTATGAGAAGAAGGTTAAAGGTCAGACAGGTCTCAGTTTGCCCTGAGACCTGACTGTGTGGGTCAGCCGTGAGTGTGAACTGACAAGTTAAGGAGCTGCATGTAAACACTCACTCTTGCCCTATTTAATATATATATATTTATATACTGTAAATTTATATTCATACACTGCCATTGCCCCTGGTGAGATATGACACCCCTGGGCTTCATGAAAATTATTGCAGAAGGAATGCCACGATAGGTGTCGTATTCCTATAGGTAGATGTGATCAGCTGAGAATCAGCTGATGCAAGCTTTACTCACGTGACCTGCCAGAACTAACGGTAACGCTTAATTAAAACGCTTAAAGTTTTTTATACATCTAGTTGTCTACTTAAAACCGGCATTAAAGTCGCCAAACAGAACCACAAAAACAATGACAATTTTTCAGTCAGTCCTGAACACTTTCCTGTCTACCATTGGTCAAAAAAAAGGGTAAACCCAATACCATTGGTTCAGCTAATGTTGCTATGCCAGGCTGGTCGGGCTGCTTAAAGGTGGGGTAAGTGATTTCTGGTAGCCAATGTTGACATTTGAAATCATCAAAACAAACACGCTCCTACCCCAAAAGGGTCTCGCCTCTATTTTGATAGCTCCGCCCCACACATACATACGCAACCCAGGCAACGATTAGTTCTGTGAAACAAAGCAAAACCAATGTTACCCCGTATCTACACCGGA